GCATTTTACTTTCACTTTCAAATAGCGGCAATTCGGCGTAAAGCAATTGTTCGTTTGAATTTTCCCTCTTTACCTCGCTTTCCTTCGCTTTTAAATAGATTAAAAGCACCATACGCATTTTACTTTCACTTAATTACTTTCATCGAATTAGCAGCAATTTGGCGTCAATTGTTTTAATGCAACAACAAAATACAATGCCAAACTCACTTTAGCCTATATACAAAACAGAACTTTTATTAACAAAACGAATAAAAATAAACCATGCTATAGGGCAGGCTATGCCTAATATAAAATAACAAATAATTTGCATAGTTTAAATTGGTAGCCTATACAAAACTGGAAATAAGTAAACATGTATAATATATAACCAAATAAATAAGAAACGTAGAAAGTTTATTAGCAAAACGAATAAGAATGCTTGGAGGCACGGCATACACCTTGATGTCAAATAAAATAAATAAATTATAAAAAGTTTAAATAAAGTAAAAATCAGCAAACACTGTGGAATCAATTAAATAAGAAACGAATGTTTAAAAAAAACTTCCAAAATCACCTTAGATAAACAGCAAAAGTCAATAGGCTTTTCAAAATCCCAAATACTGCCAAATAGGCGCTTTTGCATTTCGTTTCTAAACTAAATCATCCGCGATCGTCTTGTCTGCCTCGCCTCACTCTTCTTGTCAGTCAGCTCGACTCATGCACTCTCCTCACTGGAGAAATGAAATCTGATCTGTGATGCGACTGTCGTTTGGTACGCTGCATTGAGCAGCCGCGTTCAGTTTTTAACTGTAGTATCTGTTCTTTTACTGAACTAAATGATTTTTATTACTATAAAAAAAATCTAAACGACGGTGGGGGTCGGTGGGCAAGTGACGTAACCGGTTTTGCGGCTTAACAACGGTATCACCGTTAGCCTAGTGTGCAACAGTGCAAACATTTTCTCCGTAGTCAAATCTATTTTTAATGAATATGTTATATGTTTGAGGTTTTTCATTATATGTGATATATAAATTGCCAAATAAAAATATTTGGCAATTAAATTTTTAGTAAAAGTCTCTTAAAGAGAACTTAGTAGAGTTATTGTTACCATGGAAACAGAAATCACAGCCTGATCAATGATGTGATTAATTCTTTTTCCCGTGCATATTCAAACAACAAACAGACATTTTGGGAAATAAATTTTAATTTTAAATTTTAAATAAATGCTGTTTTTAACTTCTCCTGGATCCTGGAAAATATTAATCATGATTAGGGTGTCTGTTTTGGTGGCTGCAATATATCGTCTCTGCTTTTTGCGGATGATGTGGTCCTGTTGGCATCATCAAATCAAGACTTGCAGCGTGCACTGGAGATGTTTGCAGCCGAGTGCAAAATGGCGGGGATGAGAATCAGCACTTCCAAATCTGAAGCCATGGTTCTCAGTTGCAAAAAGGTGGATTGCCCCCTCCAGGTTGGGGGGGGAGTTGCTCCCTTAAGTATCTCGAGTCTTGTTCACGAGTAAGGGAAAAATGGAGCGGCAGGTTGACAGACGGATTGGTGCTGCGTCCGCAGTAATGCGTTCTGTTTTGATGAAGAAGGAGCTGAGTGAAGGCGAAGCTCTCAATTTCCCGGTCGATCTACATTCCTACCCTCCCCTATGTTCGAGAATCAGCACTTCCAAATCTGAAGCCATGGTTCTCAGTTGCAAAAAGGTGGATTGCCCCCTCCAGGTTGGGGGGGGAGTTGCTCCCTTAAGTATCTCGAGTCTTGTTCACGAGTAAGGGAAAAATGGAGCGGCAGGTTGACAGACGGATTGGTGCTGCGTCCGCAGTAATGTGGTCATTGTACTGGTCTGTTTTGGTGAAGAAGGAGCTGAGTCTTAAGGCGAAGCTCTGAATTTACCGGTCGATCTACGTTCCTACCCTCACCTATGATCATGAACTCTGGATCATGCCCGAAAGAATGAGATCGCAGATACAAGCGGCAGAAATGAGTTTCCTCCACAAAGAGTGGCTGGGCGCACCCTTAGGGATAGGGTGAGGAGTTCAGTCACCCGGGAGGAGCTCGGAGTTGAGCCGCTGCTCCTGCGCATCGAGAGGAACCAGTTGAGGTGGCTTGGGCACCTGTTTCGGATTCCTCCTGAAGGCCTCCCAGGTGAGGTGTTACGGGCATGTCCCACTGGCAGGAGGCCTCGGGGCAGATCCAGGACACGTTGGAGTAGGGCTGAACGATTAATTGCATTTGCGATAATATCGCGATATGAAAAATCACTGTTTCATGGCATGAGTAGTTAATTTCCTCAGAATAGATATGAATTATTCTTGTCTTTTTTCATATACTTGGTTGCTTTAAACCAAATGCTGTAAGAATTTGATTGATCTCTGAGTGGAATTGTGTGGTTCAATGCTTAGAACTGAAGAATTTTTGAAATCCCTATGGAGAAAATACTTAAAAGAACCAAACCAACTGCTTTGGTGCGCACGATTTCTCCATATTTCCATCATTTGTTCTGATGACTGGGAAAATGTGCTAAGGGCTCTTTCTGTTTGTGTTTGAGAGTCACGCAGCTCTTTTGATCTGTAAGGCTTGAGGGGGATTTGTCCATGGGATTTTTCACTCTTTGAAGCACAATCTGCAGGATGCGTTGAATTAAAGTGTAATGGAAAATGAGAAGGGGTTTTTATCAGGAAGAGCCCACGTGTGTCAGTTGCAGCAGAACATCCCAATTCCATCACCCTGACATCTGTTCTGAACATGATTGTTTTTGTCTAGATCGTACAAGAATCACCATTCCTCACCATGGACCTCTTGGAATCCTGTTTCCCGTACGTCCTGCTCCGGAACGCCTACCACGCCGTGTACAAGCAGTCTGTGTCATCTTCCGCATAAGGGTTCCCGTGCGTAGAGCACTCGAGGGGCGGATACTTCAGCCCTCATTCCATATTCCTCTGTAGGATTCTCCGATGTTATAGTCTTACCAGTTCAAGACTTTTAATGGGATCAAAACTTTTATGACACTGAATAAAGTTGGAAAAAAAATTGTTTATTGACCACTTACAGTAATCAAGTTTGATCCCAGGGACTAGTGACACTAAGTATCATTTTGACCATTTTTGTTTTGTTTGTGTTTTAATTTGCAATGGTTAAACATGGAAACAAACACATTAAATAGTTAATTGTGTATTTTGGGACATTGGGGGGAGGGCAAGGGTGAATTATTAAAAACTCTACATCATGCTAAATGCTTGTTACGATAACAGATGCCTCTATGAAACAGTGATTCTTTTTTTGATGTTGTTCTAGATCTAATCTGTGTGGATTACTGCGTGCTTCTCTCTCCCTCCCTGTGAATTTGCATTTATTTTCATTACATTTTGTGTTTCTTTGACATACTTGCCAAATTAATGGATATACCTAACTGCATCTCATCTGGATTGAAACAGCAGAATTGTGCATAACTACGTTATAAAAGCAACCTAGTGTTGTCTGTACAAAGCATAGTATAATTTTTTAACTAACTTTCATGGTGCCTTGTGGCATTGACACTCCATTGTACCTGTCTGTGAGCTATAATAAACATTCTTACATATTTATTGAATTTTTTTTTAGTTGTTTTCCCCCCTCCTCTCCCTTAAACTGTTTTATATGTTTTGGATTTTTTTGGAAATGACAATGTATCTTCCATAACATGAATAAACATCAGGTCAAATGCAGTTTGACTGGTCCACTTTAATGCTGTTTAAGTGATGTAAAGTAGTTCTGATAGTCATGAAAAACCTGGAAATAACAGTAAATTGTTATTTTGAGTTGATTCGTTTTAATTAAGTCAAACCAATTCACATATTTGTCTAAATGATTTATTAAAAAATCCTTCTCAATTTTATTATTGATTAAAAGTCCTTATCCAGAGGTCACTGGCAACTTTAAAGTTCATGGAAAATTCATTTGTCAAAAATTGTGGGAACCCTAACAGGTTGCATGTGCTTTTAACATTGTATTATGCAGGAATATGAAAAATGGTTTCTATATACAGTATTTTTATTATTCTGTTTTTATTCCAAGCTGACAGGAACATTGCTTCTTTGATCGGAGGCTGCTCATCTAAATCTTCTCACATAAACTGAGCCAAAGGGCACACTGTGCAGATGTCTTTAAAAAACTAGATTTGCTTTTATGGACTTGGTTTTACCTTTTGTTTGCACTCTGTTTTTAGCTTCACATTTAAGTTGGATATGACCCTTTTTGGTATATAGTTAAAACCTGATTTTTATGTTGCTGCTGAAACAAAAACATATTTCTCCAGGTGTAATGACGATAAACTGCATAACTGAGCGCTGTGCCATGCAAACGATTTGTTACATAGCTAGATTCATGTCTCTGGTTCTCATAGCATATTGATATTTTGTGGTACATAGCGACATTATTTCAGTGATTATATCTTCTGGTGGACGGATATCACTTCATGAATTTGCTTAATAGAGCTGTTTATGGTCCTAAACCCCAGAAGAGAATTAGCACTTGAGTCATGAGTTCCCTCAGAAATTTCTAATGGTTTTTTAGCCTAGCAGTTTTTCGATTTATGAGTAAATTAAGTTATGTAGTTAACATTTCTTGAGGAGACTTTCATATTTTATTGTACAACATAAATTACCTACAGTCATTCCTCAAATATGCCGCTAAACGGAAGATGCTAACAATTTTCTACATAAAGACTACAAACCAATGTCTGATTCGTCAAGAACATAACTTCACATCCTTATGGTAGTTGTAGTTTAGTAACTTGCTAGCAACCTGCATTATTATTATTATTTTCAGAAATCGTGTCTGGGGTATGACTGTGTGCTTTATGTTGTAAAACGTGGAATGAATGTTAATCATAAACCTTAGTTTACCCGTAAATAAATAAAATAGAAAAACACATCGCCAGACGAATTAGCCGGTTACCCAGCGAATTAGATTTCACGATTACAGAGTTGTATTACGTTTTAATGAAAATTGTGCCCTTAATATTTTTATGTAGATGCCATTTTAATTTAACTGCTATTAGGTTTAAAAATAAAAATATTTTCAATTTTAAACGTCATGAGGTATTAATAATAGAATGTATTTAGCACAATTATCAACTTCAATTTAATTTTCTCTTTATTATACCATACGTTTTAATGAAAATTGTGCCCTTAATATTTTTATGTAGATGCCATTTTAATTTAACTGCTATTAGGTTTAAAAATAAAAATATTTTCAATTTTAAACATCATGAGGTATTAATAATAGAATGTATTTAGCACAATTATCACCTTCAATTTAATTTTCTCTTTATTATACCTAATCTGTGTTTCTTAATGTCCTCTCACTACATCTAAAACAGTGTGTCCACAGAGAAGGGTTCAAGCATTCATATGCAATAAAATGCATAATGTTTTTTAATGATGAAAAAGAGCTTGTTTTATCTAAAGCAACACTTAATATCTCCTATCAAAGCAAGGTTGTTTTTTAATGACACATGCATGTTTCATAAGATTTTAAAGTTGTGTCCCCACTTTTTGTCAGCACCGTCAGACATTCAATAAAATGTAATAAAATCAGGGAATATCAGGGGCAGCTGTCACTATAAAGAACCCCCTTGCCACAGTTCACCTCTGCAGAGTACATCAGTGTCAGACAGGCTCTGCTAAGTTTTAGTTTTAGAACATTTTAAACTGTGTTCCAATGATATATCAAAATACTTAAAACGTGACTCTTGAGTAAAAGCTTTATAAACAATAACATACTCACTGTTTGATGTGTTTGTTTTAATACAGTAATTGACTGATTCAATGTATTTGATAAAAATTTAAATTAAAAAGTTATAATAAAAGTTCAAATTACTACAATTTCAGGTTTTCGTCACCACCGTCAGATGTGTCAACTCCGTCAGTTGAATATTTTGATAATATTTCATTGTGATATTTTATATTTGTTGTGGAATTGTTGGTCATGTGTGAAAGTGTAATCTGTCTGCTAACACGAGAATGTGTTTTGAAATGTTAAAAACATCTTGAATGCTGTTAAAGATAAAGTTGAGATTATATTACACAGTCCAAGCAAAAAAAGCACATTTTGTTAAAAAAGAGAAAAGTTGGGAGGTTGTATCAAAGCATAGCTCAGTAGCTTAGTACATATGAGAGACATAAATGTAGTTTCATTTGTCTGAGTACAAGGTTTTATTTTTTCAATATTGCACCGTTTTGTCCCACTTCTCAAGAATGACTGAGCTCTAAATACAATCACATGCAGTTCATTCATTTTGTAAATGCATTCCAACAAAAAGTGTGGCCCTTCTCCTTTCAAATTTTTTAAAACCTTTTTGTAGTGCCCTAATCAACACAGACAGATGTTGATTAGAGGTCTGCCTTTAAATTAACACCTCCTTATGTCCACAACTCTATGTACTATTTAACTTATTCAAACAGCGCTTTTGTCTTGGATAAAGTCGTTTACAGCAGCAGTAAGTCAACAGTCTCGTGTTTGAGGGCGCAACAGGAGACTGAAGTGATGGAGGAGGAGGTGGGCTGCTTTATGTCCCCAGCCCACCTCCTCTTATTCCTCCTCCTCCAGCTGCTTCCAGGCGCTTTCTGTCAGCAGGAGCTGGAGGAGAGATCAGTTCACACCAGCGCGCTCCTGAAGTGAGGAACCCGACGACCATTTCCAGGAGAGAAGTTCTTTTTTTTTTCTTTTTTCCCCCCACCTCCATTTCAGCGAGAATCTAAAAAAAATAAGCTTTCGTTCTCTGTTCATCTGATGCAATACTTCAGTATGGTGAAGTTAGTTTGAGGAACTTTGTTTTGGGGAGCTTTTACGCGCAAGAGTCTCCAGCTCTCCAGAAGATCTCCGCATGCCCTTGGTGAATTATAAATAGCTTCATCTCTCAATTGCGTTTTGATCACCAATAATATGTTTTCCTACGAGATGTTCATCTGCGTCCTGGCCATCGCCTGTCTCCTGGAGATCCCCCGAGGCACCGCGGCCGCGTCCTGCGAGCCCATCCGCATCCCCATGTGCAGGTCCATGCCGTGGAACATGACCAAGATGCCCAACCACCTCCATCACAGCACGCAGGCCAACGCCGTGCTCGCCATCGAGCAGTTCGAGGGGCTCCTGGGCACACAGTGCAGCCCGGACCTGCTGTTCTTCCTGTGCGCCATGTACGCGCCCATATGCACCATCGACTTCCAGCACGACCCCATCAAGCCCTGCAAGTCCGTGTGCGAGCGGGCCAAGTGCGGCTGCGAGCCGGTCATGAAGAAGTACAATCATACGTGGCCGGAGAGTCTGGCCTGCGAGGAGCTGCCCGTCTACGACCGAGGAGTCTGCATCTCTCCTGAGGCGATAGTCAAGGCGGAGGGGCCAGGTTATTCATGCATTTATCGATGATTTTTGTTATTTATTTATTGTTAATAATAAATATGGAGAATTCAGGTAAATTGGGACTCTTTTGATAGTCATATCAGTGTCAAAAAGTGACCCAATTTATGCAAATTTACCGTATATAAATGTACTTATGTAATATAGATAGATACAGATTTTATTGTAGTCTATGCATATAGTGTGTAATATGTTTATATGTAAAGTGTGCGATAATTTTTAATATGATCATTATCATCATTATTATTATATGGCATTAATTCAGGTAGATAATTAGACTTTTGACAATCTCAGTATCGAAAAGTGGGACATTTTATTATATTTATGCACTGTAGTGATTAATTATGACCTATTATATTATATTATAATGAAAGTGGTCTTATTTGGGGCACCTTTGACAGTCATCTCAGTATCTAAAGTGGCTAATTTTACATGAATTATAATCATACACTTTATTTATAAATTATAGCATGCATATAGTATTCACTTTATTAATTTTTTTCTAATACCTGCAATCATTATCATCAATGGAATTTTGTTCAAATAATCCTGTTCAAATAATCCTTAAACATTTCTTCCCTAAAGATAATCCTTACAATCAAGACCCTTCAAAATGTAACCCTGGTAAGATCATTTTTGACTACTTTGTGAATTATCTGTTTAACATAGCACATTTTAAAGAGGGTGTTTCTGGAATGCAGTTTGAACGTTAAACTCTCTGGTTCTGGTTCTTGTGCAGAAGGAAATCCAGACTTCTCAATGGATTCACATAATGGCAAATGCAAAGGAGCTAATGGTATGCTATTTGAGTATCAATACTGTTTATAGTTTTATATGTATATTTATTATGTTTTGTTTGTGTGCATAATTCTTAAATATTATGTAATGTGCAGATATGTTTAACATGGTATAGCAAAGTGCTTTACGGTCTATTTTTGCTGTTTAAATAATACAAAAAAATTTAAATATTTCTTTAAACATAACTTTACTGATTTACTATGGTTGTACCTCAAATGTCTGAACATAAAATCCTTTACTTTAGATCGGTGCAAATGCAAGTCTGTGAGACTTGGTAAAAAGACGTATTCAAAAAACAATTACAATTATGGTAAGGCCTGAATGTTATTTTACAATTTACCTTTTGTAAAGTTCTTGACATTGTATTTCTTACACATTCTCTTTTCTAAAC